ATGTGGAACTCGACCAACAACAGGTCAATAAAGTCTGCTGTTTTTGGTTTGAGCAAACAGGGCATGGCAGATCCTCAATTCATCAACGTGAACACGTTGACTGGAAAAGTACACCACAATTTTAATATTAGCAAGGCGTATGCTTGGAGGGTGGACTTTGTTGGAAATCTAGTAGCTGGGCGTGCCTGGTTTATCATTAAGAACTTGCAACTCAATGATACAAATGAATATCTTGCGAGAATAACTATTGATGTTGATACGGTTAGGTCATATACTGTCAAACTAAACGTAAGACAAACAAATAATTCCCAACGCCAAAAAGGTAAATATTATCTGTTGTTTTTTGTTTCATACATCTGTGCCTGTAAATAGTGCATAATGTTTATGGGTTATAAGATTTAAAAAGGGGGGATGGCGAGGGGATAGGGGGAGGTTGTTAGGAATTACAAAAAGGCACCAGCAGTTCATAACTACTAAGGAAGATACTGAGTTGTACGGTCCAGGTGTTGGTTCTTGAATGCGCCTTCACTTCCCGCTTGGTGTACTCAGGATATACTACCATGAACGAAAAGGAATGAGGATTTTTAACATATAATTAAAAGTTACAATTTTCGTCATTAAATATTACCCCCTCCCCCAACATTGTTTAGGGTTGGGGGGGGGGGGGGGTTATTTTAAGAGAATTTCAAAATATTTCATCTCAGAATTTTCATCATGATTAGCACTCAAAAGCTTCCAATATTTTTGTTTGCTGTCTTTATTGTTCATTTTAGTGTGAAGGTATTTGAAACTATTCTTACTTTCAGTGAAACATAAGCATTCTACACAAAGTTGAGTGTACCCTCTTAGCAACAGAAGATTTATTTGACACTAGACTATTTCTAAATAGTGCTAATTAAACCATAGAAAACAATAGGATTAGCATAATTTAGCAGTATTTAGTAGTATTTCAAAAGAAACTCAATCCCTGTTATTATCTTTCTTTGCCTTGGTCGATCTGCTTGTCTTCTAGTGTTTTGCCAGTTTGTCTCTTACTAGTCTGCTTGTTTGTTGTTCCTTCCCTTGTGTTTAGTCTTTTCTTCTTTGCTGTTTTAGTAGATCGTGCTGCCATTTTCAGTGGCTTTTTTGTAGTTGCTGAAATTACTTTTATTCACTGAATTCATTTTATGATTTCACCTTTAGTTCAAAACAGGGCAGCCTATATAAAATTTGGAGATTGCTTAGGGAGTATAGTTCTTTCAATTGATTTCTAATATGTTATGTTTACAAAATTACCTAGCATCAACAGTGCCATTTATAACCACCAAGGGATGGAGGCCGCTTAATGAAACAGAAAGTAAGTGGTGGCTAAACTCAGTAAAGGTCTTTCAAAATGAAATCCACTAAATATCAGTGTCAGCAGTACCTCAGTGCTTGGAGACTCTATTTAAATTAAGGGTCCTTCTAATCTCTTTTCTTTCCATCTCAGATACCAGAATTCAAATATCTTGTTTTCCTTCCTGCTTGCTTTTGTTCTATACATTGGTCTGTAGAATGATGTACTGGGGACAGGAAACTTATTAAATATAAATATATGTTCAGTTATGTATTTCATCTAGTTCTTTTTCTATGTCATTGTAATAACCTTCTTCCTCCCATGTTTGTTAACATATTTTATATCCCCCCTCCCCCATTCCAAACTGAAAATATATCTCTTAATACTATGCATGTTTGGTTATGATTCCCTCAGTAAGTTCTCATATTCCATGAGTCCCATGCCATTCAAACAATTTCTCAACCAATTTTGTATTTTACAGCAATTTTCAGACTGAGCTATCTCCATAATCTGATAAAACTTAATTAATCTGCAATTTGCAATGCTAATTTTGTCTGTATCAATGTCACTTCAACATGTAAAAATCCCATTCTGCCTATAAGGCTAATGGCTTCTTGAAATTTCTTCGCCATTTCTGTAAAATACTTATCTATTTATTGCTAGTCACTTTGATAACAAATAATCTAAAATATATTTAAGGTTTTAGTAATTAATATTTATAGTAAATTGTCWTGGCAATTAAATAAATAAATATTTTATTTCATTTTTAGGACATTTTGGAACAACATATACTCGTAAGTAGTTGCAGACCTTAAAGCAATATTTACACCAAAGAGAAGCCACACACTAGGGTACAAACACTAAAAGTGTGCAACACTTTGTAGTACTTAGTGGTAAATAGTGCTAATTAAACAATAGGTAACAATGGGATTAGCATAATTTAGCAGTATTTAGTGGTATTTCAAAAGGAACTCAATCCCTGTAATTATCTTTGTTTGCCTTGGTCGATCTGCTTGTCTCCTAGTGTTTTGCCTGTTTGTCTCTACTGGTCTGCTTGTTTGTTGTTCCTTCCCTTGTGTTTAGTCTTTTCTTCTTTGGTGTTTTAGTAGCTTTTGCTGCTATTTTCAGTGGCTTTTTTGTTGTTACTAAAATTACTTTTACTCATTAAACATATTTTATGATTTCAGCTCCAGTTCAAAACATGGCAGTCGACATAAAATATATATTGGTTTCCTTGTCAATCACATTAATCATAGTTTTTATTTTCACTGGTGGTTGTTATTGTAAAAAGGTAAGATTTTTTGACTGTTTGTGAGAAAAAAGAATTCATTCCCATTCTCAGCTTCATTTTCCATCTTATTTATACCTCCATACTTATTTTCATTAATAATCACTATTTTTTAATACATGTATTGGCTGTTATTTATATTTGTAGAGAAACAAGTCAAAGCAAGAAAAACAACACGCGAAAAGCATAAATAAAGATCCTACTTCGAAATTGCTAAGAGCTGAAAATAACAATATCAGGGATGATAAAAATAACGATAATAACGATAACAACAATGAAGAAATACTGCTCGTAAAGAAAAAGGAGCCTGATCTTGCGCATATAAAGGCGTGCTAATGACATTGGACAATCTCGTACCCAGAGCCTGCACTTCTTCTGACCAGCGACGAAGAACGAGGGCTCTGGCATAATCCATTTTCTGAGACCAGGAAATATTGGACTCCCGGTATAACAGCGCATACGTTTAAAGACTTGCAAAAAAAATCCCTATTGGTAATTTTTATTTTGATCGGAAATAAACACAGAACTTTGTCTGAAATCATGATTTTACTTGATTATAGTTCTCTTCCGGGAAAATGCGCATGCGTCACGCGCGTTATACCAGCTAGAGACCTCGTTTTTTGCTGCAGGTTAGGGAGAAGCGCAGGCTCTGGGTACGAGATCGTTTCATTGCCTTCGAAAGATGTTTGGCTGCACATTATTTTTGACACGCGGGGAAAAATGGCCGATTTATATATAAATTGAACGTGAATTTAGGTCGGTAGGTCGGTAGGTCGGTAGGTCGGTAGGTCGGTAGGTCGGTAG